CCCGCACACACACACACACACACACACACCCACCCACACACCCACACACCCACACACGCACACACGCACACACGCACACACGCACACACGCACACACGCACACACGCACACACGCACACACGCACACGCACACGCACACGCACACGCACACGCACACGCACACGCACAGGCACACGCACACGCACACGCACACGCACACGCACACGCACACGCACACGCACACGCACACGCACACATCCGAGCAAGAAGGCTGGCAAAACATCGGCACACAGTTTCACGCGATGAAAGCATGCTTGGAGAAGCTGTTGATGCCCTTGTTGTGAGGACGAGGCTCCGAAGCCGCAGGCCACGCTCATCCCGGATCCCTTGGACGAGGCTCGGCTCGCGGCAGCGGTTCCAACCCACAATTTTCCGCTCTCGCTTTCTTTGTTTTAAAGATAGAAGTTTTGTAGTGTAGGGACATACGGCACTTCGGCCAAACGGGAGAAGAAGTCAAGGACCCATTAGGATTACGATCGAGGCCCAGTCGTTCGCTTACCAGGTGCTGAAGCGCCTGAAGCACTACTTCTCTGACGTGACTGACCTCATCATCTCCAATATCGAGGTGTCGATAGGTCTCCCGTCCTGTGTTACTGCACATATCAGTGAAACGACAGGACTACCGCATGGACTACCGGTTCGTGGGCCTCCGTTGCAGCTTTCCAAGACAGGAAATCACAAGCTTCGACAAAATAGCATTGAGTTTAGCACTGACCCTACCGTTGCCGCTCAGAGGTAGCAGCCTCGGGGCATTCGGTTTCGTGCAGCTCCAGGCACCTTTTGAACATTTCTGCGGTTGGTTTGCTGCAGCAATTGTTGCAGCACCACTCGAACCCGGCCACGTATGAGCTGCGAGCTTTGCGAGATGATCCGTGGGTGCCCCAGGTTGGCTAGGCTTGCGAGGCTTTGGGCGAAATGCTGGCTTTGGTGTTTCTGAGGCCCAAGTCAGTGGACCTGAAGGCCATCAAGTCTGCAGCGCGCCTATAGAGCAAAGACTGGCTGCAATGCGGCCCCACAGAATGCATAGAATAATTTAGAATAATGTTGCATTCTGTACATCTTGCTCAGGTAAACAGCTCACGTATCCCTTGGGCAGTTGCAATCTCAGAACGATAACCACTGACTGAGGGTCGGTCGTGGTTCGTATCGGTTCCAAGAAGAGGCTCTCAACAAAGGCTGCCTTTGCAAAAATCTAATCGACCCTATGTGTTCAAGCATTGTGGACAGGTCTGCTCGTTTGCAGTTTCTTGCTTTCCGATTCAAACTCCGTGAAAGAGCTTTTGGCCCATCTTCTTCGCATTCGCAGTCACGGAAGAAACCGAGGTCAGGGTGGATCACAACACGACGATTTCCGAGCGAGAGGCGCTCCAGCTGGCAGTGCAAAGCCAGAAAGCATAACAACGCCTTGCTGTAGCAGACGAGGCCTTGTTCCTGCAGGAGCATCTGAGTGCCTACAAGGTTTGGGCGAAGATTCGGCGAGTCTGCGTTCGATGTTCCCGCGTCAGAACGGCAGCGACTTCTTTTTGGCCCACGCCATCTATCGATCGGTGCCTTCGCACACGGTTCGAAAGCGATACAAGGCCTGTGCATGCAGAAGCACTTTTCAGTACCGGAGGGAGTCGTTTGCAGACATACTCGTAGGCAGTTGTGGCTTCCTTGAGCAGACGCTTTCCGCAGCAGCACGCTTCTGAGCGGAGCAAGCGGAGCATCAGCGGGGCATCCATGACGAACGGAGTCGCTGAGGTTCCAAACGGATGCGGTCGCAGTTTGAGCACTCTTTCAGTTGAGCCGAAGATCTACGTCGTATGAAGGCATAGCTGCTCCTGGCCCTTGGAGTCTGCGCAAGAAGCCACAATAAGGTGGTTCTTCGCAGTCTATGGGGCCGTTAAGACGGAGCTGAGATGGCTCTGCCAAAGAAGCGGATGTTCCGATTTCGCTCCAACTTGTTTTTTCTCTTCGTGCCAGCCGCTTGCCTATGGTAGCATTGCCGTAACAGGCTTTAGAAGCTACAGCAGTCTTTGTGTGCAAGCCTGGCCCTCAACAGGGCCAGTGGCTGCCTTCACGAGAAGCACAATTAGCGGCCATTTGTTGAGGTTCACTTGAACAGTTTCTGTGTTTGCATCTTGCTTTATGTCATCGTCGCTGCCCTGCAATTTACTTTGGCTGCTGGAATATGCTATGCGCGATGCAAAAGTCTTGATGGTTGCTGCAGAGAAGTTACGTAAGCAGCTTGAGTCAGGCGCTCATGCCGACTGTCTGCATGGGACATTGCCCGCCTTTCGCTCGCAGGACGCATGCGCAGACATGACAACGAGCATCAGCATGCGTGCGCGTGTCAAGACCTTTTCTGTTTTGTGCAAAGTTGCGTTTTTTCCTGAGCTAGTCTCTGCCGAGATTTGAGAGTGCATGCAGTCCAAGGGCAAACCAGAATCCAGAACTCATCGCACCCAGTCCACGTTCTGCTTTGCTGCTTGCTTTCGCTCTCTGCTCCGATGATGTCCCTCGATCAGTGGGATTGGAAGACATCGGCTCCAGAATTTGTTCCAGGCCCTCCTGACGTTCTCGTGTACGTCTCGTCTAGTTCGTCGTGTTCCGCGACAGGTGTCCTTCATGGGGTAACGTCGGGTCCTCTCGTCGGCGCGTGGGTGGCGCCCCACTCGGGAAGCTCGCCAGAGGGGCAACTCGCCATGGGCTCCTTGGTGTCTGCAGAGTTTCATCCCATGAGACCTAATTTCTGCTACCTCCGTTCTTCTTCCCTGGTTTCTGTTTGTTGCGAGACTCTAGAATCAAGGAGATGTGCGAGCACATTCCCCGATGTGTGCCGCTCCTGGTGGCCCGGTGGCCATGGGCTTCGTGGGTTGCCTCTCAGACTTTGGAGGCCTCTGCTGGCTCTCTCTCTCTCTATTTTTGAGCGGGGTCCTTTCGCTGAAGAGAGAGATTTGCCTTGCCCTGCCGTGCAGGCCACGGTGCCTGGCAGGCCGTGGGCCCCGTGGGCCCCGTGGGCCCTTGCCAGGTGCCTTTGATGTCTGTCATGTGACTTCAGGCACTTCATGCACTGATCCGTCAAAGTTGTAGACGTATCTGTCACTCCAGGCGCAAGGCGGCGGACCCATGCACGGGCCTCGGCGTTCTCTCCAGAGGCTTCCTTGTCTTGTTCGACCCTTGCAGAGGTCCGGCATGATGGCACCAGGCTGGCCCGGACCATGACTTATCACTAATCAGAATCTGACCAGCCCTATAGTTATCTCAAGCGTTATCTTCGCAAGTCACTTAAGAACTTCCCGGCCAGGTCCTTGCCCCGTGCAGGTAGAGGCTGGCAAACACGGAAGACCCGTGCGTCTACAGCTCTTGATGACGCTTCGTATGACAGTTCGGCGGACCTCAGCCGTACTCCGACCGGCAGGAGATGATGTGCTTGACTCAGAAGGCGGATTAGTTAAATCGAAATGCCCAGCTGCATCCAAGACGTGTTGTGAAACACATTATCGTCTCCAAGGCATCCGCTTGAAAGCGCTCCGAGCCAGCCGAGCCAGGAAGAGGCTCCATTGAGATGCTCGCACCTTGCCTCTTGTTTTGCACGAGTTCGGTGCCTGTTTTCTCCAGGAGGTGAGAATGTACATTGGTTTTGGCTCTTCGTGTCGCGTCGCTGGGTTTCGTCTGGCGAAGAAGAGTGAGTGGGCCGTCCCCGTTCCCGATTCGAGCACTGCGACTGCGATTCGCTGCCGCGGCGAGTCCAGCACACGCGATTCAAGCGACAGCCAGTTAAGCGTGGCACTTTGTTCGAGCACCGCGGATTTAAGCGCCAGCCGAATTCAGCATGAGCGATTCAAGTACCCAAGCATTCAGAGTGTTGGACTCAGGGTTTCGGAACTTCGTGCTAAGGTGTTTTGGTGCAAGGAAAGCCGGGTGTTTAGGGTTTTAGAGATAGGACTTTGAACATTTTAGGGTTTAACTTTGGGGTCGCAAGGTTTGGGATTTCAAGGTTTCGGTTTGGGTTGCTCAATTTTGGGTTGTTCTAAAACATTCTAAAACCATCACTTCTCAAAATAGCTGGCATCCCCTTAGACCTCCTGATTTCCGCTTCAGGGTTGTTAAGGGCTGTTCCGCAGCTGTGTTGGCTTTCTCCCGCTTCAGTGCCGGGGTTACGGCTGCAAAAAAGAGATGCCCACGTTCCGAGCCTTAATTATTATTCTCGGCCCTGCCAGAAGTTCCGTTCAGTTGGACTGCCAAGCGGTGGGCGATTCCCTGGTGTGCGAATCGCGAATCGTGTTCGTGCTGTGTCGATGCACGAACTGTATGAATCCAATCCGGAATCCGGCCTTTGTACAAGCGCCATTCGAGCACTCAAGCGCTACCATTCTCAAGCAAATCCCTATACTGATTGGGGGGCATCGTCCGTGACGCTTACCGTGAACATAGGCAGCTTTGGAGGTTCAGCAGATGAGTGCGAAATGCGTGATGTCGGCGGCGCTGTCGCCCCTGTGGTTCTTACCTCACTCTGTTTTCGCCCTTTCTCCTCATGCTCACTTTCACATGGCCTCTCGGCCTGCCCGTGCAGCGTGTGGCGTGGGGCAGGACTACGCAGAGCGTATCCGTGCCGCACAACTTCAAGCGCGCTACGAACAGCGGCTGAAGTCCAAGGCGAATTTAGTTTGCCCGACTGCAATGTGATACAAAACTGTCACGGGACAGCTTGCAGGACCAAGAGCTTCGGTACCTTCAAGACAGACTGAATCGGCAGGAAGACGAGACAGCCAAAATGCAGGCACACCATCTGCCTCGCCGGTTAATGCTGAAGCATGTTGGCACTGAAGGCCGAGTTTGAGCGAGATCGGCAGGGCCTGCTGTACAATCTGAATCAGAATCTTGGCGGAAGAGGGGAGGGGGAAGGTGTACGTTGGGGTTTCTTCCTATAAAATGGCCAGGCTATCCCACGTTGTGGCCACCGAGCGGAAAGGGCAGACGCAGCTCCCCGGCAGAGGAAGAGAAGACATGGCTGAAGAGGAGTTGGCAGTGCTCAGGTGGGGAGATCGGCAGGGATGGTCCAAGAAGCGAGAGAAACAGGAGGCCAACTCCGCATGGATCCGACCGCGTGCTCTTGCGCCTCTGCTCTGAGGCTTCCGTCATGGGCTCCGAGGCCTTTTGGGCGGACGAGGGCACACAGCACAGCGAAACTCCCTCAAGCTCCGCGAGAAGACCCCCCTCCCCCTCTCCTCAGCATCCTCGGCAGGGGACGTCCTGCAAGGCGGAGGGTCGCCGTGAAGGCGGTGCCTCACCAGGTTTCCTGTCTTCCGTTTTTTATGGGATCTTCCTGGGGTCAGGAGCAACAACTTCCCGGTCGCGACTTCACAAGGACAGAGCCAGCCGCGACTGTAAGTTGCCGTCACAGTTTGCGGACGCAAACACAGGAGCCCGCCGCGCCAGCAACAGGAGCCTCAGCTGAACAGCAAGTCACCATTCGGCCGTCCTGCGTCCTGTGCAGGTGATCGACGCGATCGACCACCAGCGGTGTGGAGGTGCGCAGATGTCAGAGTGATGAAGCACAAAGACGCTGCGCACACGAAGGCCGCCGCCGTCTAGTGGCACACTCTGGAGCGGTGACCGCTTCGAGAAATTTGCCCGGCAGACGCTCGGGCCCAAGCCACACGCGGCTTAAGGCGAGTCCGAGAAAGCTTCCCCAGGCCCGGGGCTTTCGAGCTGCGGGAGAAGGCTGTGCAGATGGAGCCAGATGGGATCATTTCAGTACGGAGCCTCCGGCTCAGGTAGATGGCTCCGGCTGGACATTGAGGCCAGGGTACAGAGATGCAACGGCATTTCTTTTTGGAGAAGACGGCAACTCGAAGGCTTCGCTTCGAGGATCTAAGCCCGCCTCTGAACGATGAGGGCATGCAGGCGATGTCGACAAGCCTACTGGGCCTCTTTGCCTTTGCATGCTCAGACGGATCTGTGACGAGGTCTTCTGCAGATGGCTCCACCAATCCGCACTGCAGAGGACTGGACGACTAGAAGGTGGCTCCCCAAAGGCACAGAACCACAGCCGAAAGTGGAGGATGCGGGAGGAGAAGTTGCAGGGCCTCCGGTCGATGCGGACGGTGGAGGCAGAGGCGGGATAATACTTGGCGAGGTCGGTCTTGGTCTTGCAGGTGCCTGCAGTTTGGAGAGTCGGCAGTATGCTCGGAGCAAAGCAAGAAGCCTTCAGCAGGTTTCCTTCGCTTGGAACTACATGGGTGACGAAGCAGTTGGACGCCTGCTACAGGCATGCTGAGCTTTGCCCCTTACAGGAGCTTCCTGAGTGCAGCTAGCCTTCTCCAAAAGAGACATGTCTCCAAGCACTCGCAGAACAATGCAGAACATGTCGTCCTTGCACTCCCCGGGTCGACTTGACGGGTCGGCCCGAGGGTGTCTGGATCTACGTTCGACTGTTGGTTCTGGAGGCTTTGCAGCGCTCGGAGCTGCGGGTGGCAACGCTGAACTTCAGTGGCAACTGCCTTGGGCCGGCTGGTGCCTCGCATGTCTGCGACTTCCTTCAGGCCTGAAGCCATTTTTTATTGGGAGTCGTGCCGTGGAATCCGGCCCTCGCAGGAAGCCAGCTTCGGAGTTCGGGAGATCTCTTTGTCGCACAACCTGCTCGACGAGGCGAGCAAGTCCGCTGTCGGGAGTCTTCCAGAAACGTAGCTCCCAGGTTCCAGGATGTCTCAGGACCCAGCCTGGTTTCTCCAGTGGTCCAGGCTGTGGTGATGGAGCTCTTGGGCATGCTTTCCGACCACCCCAAGTATCCATTGAGAAGGCATGGCAAGGCAAGGCCTTGCGCGCATCACTTGTCATATGTTGTCATCGTGTCTCTCTGCGTTTAGACGGATATGGCGTGGGGCTGCGCGACTGCGTGTATCGTCCTGTTGTGTGCCAGGCGGATCCGGTGAAATTGCTGCTAAGCAACAACGGCCTCCATGCCGCGAAGCTTCTGTAGCAACCCCAGTCATTCCGCGGTCCCCAAACCAAAATTGCCTCGCCATGGTCTGAGGAAGAAGATTGGAGGGATTGGAGGGCTGTCCTTGCAGTCTTCTCGGACTCGTTCCGCAAGGCTCCTGTGCTGGGAACATTTGCACCCACTGGGATCGGGAATGCATCATCTGCTGGGATCCTTTAGGGAGACCTTTATGATTTGGGATTTACTTACTCAGGGCATCTCAGTTTCTGGGTTCATAGTCTCCTAGGACTTAGAGTTCAACGCCGCAGTTACCAACGATCCCGACCGACAGGTGCAGTAGCATGCAACTTGTCATGGCCTCAGGGATTGGCACGTCCTCAAGAACGGTGTGGACCTGCTGAAGCTCCCCGATTTCGAGATGCAGGAGTTGAGCAGTTGCAAGAGCAGAGAATTCAGAGAACCCCCATCCTTGTTGCGGGTGAGGAGCAAGTCCAAGAGCCTGGATCGGAGACGGAGAGTCCTCTGGATCGGGATCGGGCAGATCGGTGACTTCCATGCACATCGGAAGCGGAGTGGCGGGGCAGCGGAGCACAGCTCTGGTGCCAAGGAAGCTGGAGCGAAGCAAGCCTGTCTCTCGCGTGCCCAAGAGGACGGACGGAAGGCAGAGAGCAAGTCTCGCAAAAAAAGAACACTTGCGAGCCTGCCCTTGCAGGTCCGAAGCATTCCGGGCAGCGCCCAGCCCCGAGGCGGCCTCACCATGTTTCCTTGGTTTCAGGGGACGAAGCGCACAGCGAGAACAACTGGATGTGTGCAGACTCTCAGCCCCACTGACTGCTACTCCCACTTCCCACGGCATGCGGATCAAAACCTTGTATAAACAGGATACTCGTAGGACCAATTTTAAAAGGATCAAACAAAAGAAAATAAACATGATCAAGAAAAGACGTACCGCGGTACAGCGCCCAGGCCCGGGGGCGGAAGGAGGGGTGGGGGGGAGGAGGGGGGTCGGAAGGTAATGCCATTCTACTGAGAAAACGATCCAAACCTTAGTCCTAACAGAACATTCATGGGACGAGTCTAATATTTCTCCACATGCAGGCCCTGGTCCCTGTTGTGCATAATACCGTTCTGAGAAGACAACATCCATGGTTCAGCCATGATGACGTCCATGGTCCAACCGGTTCTTAGAAGAGAGCATCCACAAGTGATGTCCACAACGGTGACAGATAGCTTCTAACCGGCGAAAACGGGGTGTCACGCACTTGCACGTTTGCGCTGAAACAGACGTGTTGCTTTCAATAAGCGTAAAATGTCTAACAATGAGGCTGTTTCCTATTGGAGCACGCGTATTTTGAACATCAACTCCTGTTGAATCTCATGACTTGGACAAGGACCCAAGTACAAATCACGTGGCAGGGCTGAGGGATTTGCTACTTCCGAGTTTTGCAGCTGGCGCAAATTTTGGCATAAAACTTACGCTCCACTGCTTCCTGTCGTAATCATTGCTACCTTCATTACGATTAAGCGAACTTTTTTGTTGTTCTTATTGTTCTTACCACTTCGACGACGAGCTACTAAGTAGCACTGCTGCTGCTACTAGTACTACTTCTTCTTCTCCTGCTACTACTGCTGCTGCTGCTGCTGCTGCTGCTGCTGCTGCTACTACTACTACTACTACTGCCACAGAATCGCAACCCCAGGATCGAAGAAGAGCCCCCAGCCCGCTCCAGACGAATCGTTCGCATCACTTTGACGCGGACTTCCCTGTCGGGATCAGCCAACTCCTGAATAGCTGTTCAGTGCTGCAAACGACTTCCGCGAAGCTTCGAGGGGTTTTGGGGTTCAGCGCTTGGGGCTTCAGGTTGAGAGCTTAGCAAACGAGGCATCTATGAAGAGTGTTCAGGGCTTCAGGGATTCAGGGTTCAGGGATTGGGCTTCAAGGGTGTGCGGTGGAGTGATTGGAAACCCGGGGTCTGGGATTGAGGCTGCTGTGGCTTCTGCAAACTACGAAATCCTCATAAAAGCTTGTACAAAAAACACTGTGAGCAAGCTTTGGGCTCAAACAGGCCCCAAGACCCTCCAGCTTAGGCTTTTTTGGTTTGGGATTTTGGGTTGCATGCCAGCGTTCGGGTTAGGGGCTTTGGTTGTTGGGTTGTGGGTTGCGAATGCTGGGTTTCGGGTTTAGATCTTGAACCCCAAGCCGCGAAACCCTACGTCTTCTCCGACGCCTCCTTGCCAATTCGGCGGATGTAGCTGAACAGCAGCGGCGCGACCTCCAGGTGTGGTTTTTTGTCTCGGGGTTTGGGCTTAGGGGTTGGAGCTAGGGGAGCTGATGCGCTTAAGGCTTCAAGCACGTTCGCGTGTATTGAAAGAGTTGTGACAGCTTAAGGATAGTATGAGCAGCAATAGCCACCAGAAGCAGTTTCTGGCCACAGCTTGCATGTAGAGTGATTTCGAGAAGGACGACAGCCACAGCAGCACTCCAGAGACATGTCAAACCGCGGAGTAACTCTGAAAAGATGCCGAAAACAGCACGATGGTGATCGGTGATCATGATAACGATGATCGTCATCGTCATCTCTCTCTCTCTCTCTCTCTGCACGCCACGGCCACGAGGGCCGCGTTACGTCCGCTCGGTCAGAGCCTAAGACCAGCACCTTCGGTGCAGGAATGCCGACCCGCGGGTCCAACGCACTCGTCGGGACAGACATGCTATCTCCGACACTAACAAGTGGAACAACTACTCCTACGCAGAAACGAGCTACTGAAACTCTGCGCATTCAGTCGCAGCGTCACTGGAGCGGCTATGTCACTTGACAGCGGCAGCGACATGCATCACTAGCACGCACCTGGGTCGTGAGGCGTGGAGCACAGCTGATGTCCAGGCTCCAGCTGTTGAGTATGCAAAGCTGGTTTGATTGAGGTAGCTGCATAAACAGTACCCTATCCTGCTTGGCAGCCTCTGTCTGTTGACCTGGGAGAATTCCAGGGCCAACGAGCTTTGCAAGTGGCGTCACGCTACAATTCAAGACAACCTGACCTGAGAGCGGTAAGGTCGTGAGGCGATGAGCCCGTCGAGCATTTTCCAGAAGCTACGTGGGCGTTAACAAGTCAATATGCTGACCGGCGCTGAAACAACGCATTTGCAGCAGTCGACATGGGATATGCTCCTGCCAGTTTATGGTGTCCGCCCGCGCAAGTGCTTTGGCAGAAGCAAAATGACAAAAGTGCCATCCACGTTCGGACCACTCCATAGTACGTGACCAATGCGTCTCCTGCAGCATGACTGTGCATCTACGTCATCGCGCCGGGCAAGCCAGCAAAGAGGCTCATTACAAAGGATCACAGTTCCACGAAAAGGATCTTAAATCTCGAACCGGAAACGGCAGAAGTGGCAGAAAGGACAGACAGGCGTCGGTGCAGATACGCTCTCATGCATAAACCTTGCCACTCTACAGTGCTGAGCCAGTACATCTCGCCTTCGCGACCGCCCTTCCAAGCGATCGCTTCCGCACAATCCCGCAGGTCTACGCAGGAATGTGCGCCGTGTCGTTTGCCACACTAGGTGCGTCTTCTGGCATGCCCAGGGCTGCAATGCCAACCCTCGTGCCCGCAGCACCTGTTGAAGTCTGCTGGTTCGGTCGCAGCTGATCGATGACAAATGATTGCTGATTCTGATTTCTAGACAACGCAGCAGCTCCATCTATGAGTATGTCTAGCGCCAGGGCGGGCAGCAGTGTTAGTTCAGAGCAACTGCAGACCAATGGATCTCTACTCCCTCCGTTTGAACCGTTCGCGGCACTTCGTCATCGTCATCGTCATCATCATCATCATCATCATCACCATGGTCATGATGATATCAGTGCCGGATCAGTGGTGTATGAGCAAACTTGACAGCCCGCCTGGTAACCAGGGGCCTTCATCCATTCGTAGAGGTCGTAGCCTCGGGAGGGTGTCAAGGGGTCTTTCAACCCTGAGTGCCCCACAAATTCCTGGGGTGGACTTTCCCTTGAACTCTCAGGGCCCACAGCGCTGCAAAGCAAGATGCGGGATGGCTTGGGTGGCTAGCGGCTGAGGCTTAGTTAGGGCTTGGAGCTGTGGGGTCAGGCCTTACATTTTTCGGGCTTCGGGTCGGCATGGCCTCGCCGCCCAGCCTGTTAGACGTTCAAGGCCCCTCTATGCCTCAAACAGCCGAGCCATCTTTCAAACCGAAGCTGCATCGCATCAAAGTCCTTCATCGCTCGATGACATGCTACCATGAGCCTTCTTTACATTGCACTGTTTGAATTCGGGAGGATTCGGGAATCTTTCTACAAGCCCGTGAGATATGAATTCCTTCCAGGCACTGACCATGCTCCCGGAGGAGCCGTCGTCTTCTCCTGCACCCAGAGTTCAAAGGGACTATAAATTTTTGAGGATCAGTGCCGGTTGTCAAGTTTTACAGTGTGTCCTTCAGCCTGTCCGTCGCTTGCTCTGTTGCACCTCGTCCCCCATGTTGCTTTTTTCGTCACTTTAGTCCAAGTCCAAGGTATCATCCCCGATGAGACCCCGTAGGGCCAGAGGACCCGACAGCCCCAGGCCCACATTACCCCGAAATTCTTCCAGCATCCCCAGTCACCGCAAGAACTGCATTGTTGTTGCCGGGTTGTCTGCAGTTCGTCATGTCCGGCTTGAGGCTTGTTAAGCATTGCGGTGTTGTGGGGATGTTAAGCTCTTGAGGCATTGCGCGTACATGGGATGTCGGTTTTTCCATGCACTGGAGCTACTTGCCTGTCACCGGGTGGCAGTGTCTCGTCTTGCGAGCAAGCCCACTGTGCTCTTCGGCTGATGGTTCTGGAAGACTTGGCTCTAAACTGCACGCGAAAGTAAGAGCCTCGACAGCTTAACGAAACACTGTCCGAAACTTAGTTAATGACACCCGAAACTATAACCGTAAAGCCGTTGACCCAAGCCGGCTCTCAAATCTTGGCCACCAACTGGACTCTAGTCGAGAAATCTCGAGCTCCAGGCACAACCGACCCATCCATTCACGCGGCCCTGAACCCTAAGCAAACACCCTACCCAAACCCTACCCAAACCCCGAGCAGCCCAAACCCCTCAACTAAACAAAACCTACAACCCTGAACCCCACATGCTAAATTCCTCGTGAAGGAGCATCGAAGAAACCCCCTGAACCCCCTAAACCCACAAATCCCAAAAGTTGCCGGGACCTTCGGCTAACTGCACAGTTTGCATTCGGCGTAGCTCCGGAGCGGAGGAGTCGTCTGGGAAAGGCACTCGCAGCTTAGGGTCTGCGCGTTTGCCAGTTTCTGCACGATTCCAAACGCCATGTGAGTCGGAAGCATTTAGACTGGAGTGTAGTAGAACAATCACCTAGTGAGAATGATCTATGCCATATCATGTCTCCAGAGCGCACAAACTTGTTCATGCCGTGCCTACATAGCTATACAGCTAAACATATGGATACCTGGATGCATGCTTGCTTACTTACTTACATACATGCATGCATACAACAGACAGACAGACAGACAGACAGACAGACAGACAGACAGACAGACAGACAGACAGACAGACAGACAGACAGACAGACAGACAGCCAGATTTACACCTACATATACACGTAAAGGGACATACATTATGTATCCATGCATGCATGCATGCATGCATGCATGCATGCATACAAGCATACGTACGTACGTATATATATACATGCATGCATATATTACAGGCATGCACGGGGACGGAC